GAAGGGAGAGAGATAGAGAGCTAGAAACGTCGATGAGAGAGAAACATCGACCAGCTGCCTCCTGCACGCCCCCTACCGGGGATGTGCCTGCAACCAACGTACATGGCCCTGACCGGAATCGAACCTGGGACCTTTCAGTCCGCAGACCGACGCTCTACCACTGAACCAAACCGGTTTCGCCCATGAGTGCAGGTTTAGAAGAGCGAGTTAGTGTATAAAAGGCCTGTCAGGAAACTCTGGCTGCCCACTACAGGTTGGCCCCAGATTTGCCTCTGCTATTTCTAGCAGCCAACGTGACGAAGGACACATAATCAGTTGTAAGACCGATGGTATAAATATAGTATATGTTACAACAAAACAAAACACTGCCAGAGCAGTGACCAAGTGCTCCCTGGTCTTGATACTGACACCTGAGAGAGAGTTCTGTGGGGCTTTATGCCTTAACCGGGGACCGTATCCTTGACTTCGCTGAACCTTGGATTCGTCTCTTGTACAGTGTGGATAATAGCAGTATTTAATTCAGACAGCTATGAGTACTGCATGAAGTAATAGATATGAGACCTAGCCAGAAGCTGGCCCATTTGTAAGTACCCAATAAATGGTTTCCATCATCTGTATGTTCTGTAAACACAGCTTCATGTTTCTTAAAGGAGCTAACAGATCTGTCTTGCAGGTAGAGGCATAGGTTGTTAAGCACCCAGGCCTCTAGAGAAAGTTTGCCCCTGGTAAACCCCTTTTGGGGTTTAATTTTACAAAGTCTTAAATCCTCCTTGGTAGCAAAGTGGGTGTCTGTGAAGCCTATTGGAATGCCTGTGGGGTGGTGAAGGGTAAGGGTGCTCTGGTGGCCTGCGCTTATGACAGCAACTATCAGTGATGTCGGTTTAGAAATATCTGAGGAATTTGGGGAACTGCCCATGATATCTTCACAGCACCTCATCTTTCACTGAGGTGGAGCAGGTGAGGATGGGTGGGCCAAGGAGCACCTGGTGCTAATTTCTGACATTCAGAGATAACCCAGAAAGCTGTGTTTACTTCTCAGTAACACTGGCTATGGGGTGGGTTCTGAGATATTCCCGAGACATGTAGAATTTCTGGGGAATTCGCACCATCTGTCTGAGAAAGGCATGCGGGGTATGTAATTGAACACATGATACTGAGGCCCCTGCCAAGTCAAGGACTGGGTACTCTTTGACTCACACCTAAATTCTAGTAATTGTACTTTACAAAATTTTGAGGAGCAAATACGGAGCCTTTATTTTAATAACATTTTAAACCATCACCTCTTCCCTATGAATTATTATCTTAAAATGTTTCCTTCTTTTTACACTATCTTTGGGAACATTTTTTAGAGAGAAGTGTTTTTGTGTGTGTGAGTTTGTTTTGAACCTAAAATTTCCCAGTAAGTTTAGCAGATAACTGTCCCTGATTCTTTGAGTGTCTTTACTATTTTGTAGACCCTTGCTGGGTAGGAAAGCTTGTCTGTCACATTTCTCGTTTTCATTTTACATGTAAATAATTCTACACCTTCAACCTTTATGGCTTTTCTGAGAGCTTGCTGTCTTTCTTGCTGTTAATCTTTACCCGATGATTTTTGTTGTTGTTGTTGTTGTTGATTGTTAGAGAAAGTAGAAGGGAGAGAGACAGAGAAACATCCATGTGAGAGAGATACATCAGTTGGTTGCCTCCTGCACGCACCTGACCAGGGCTGGGGAACCTGGGACCCTTCAGACTGCAGGCTGACACACTCTATCCACTGAGCCAAACTGGCTAGGGCTCCGAGAGTTGTGATTTTAAAAATAGCTATCCATCTTCATGATCTATCTCTGAGACAAGTACAGATATTCTAATGAAAATAAATAATTGAGATCCACCTAGAGTCATCTTATCAACCATAGCCTGCTTCCATCAGCGATGCTGCGTTGTACGGATTTTAAAGACAGGTATTCTGTGGGAGTGGTGAGAATGTTTATGTACCAGCTCATTCTCCTTCTGCTGTTTTTGTCACTGAGCACATCCAGCTTATGAGGAATGTGGTCCTCCCCTTGAGAAAGCATGCCAACCCCTTCCCCCCCCCCCCACCACCACCAAAGCGAGGCTGTCCTTACTCTCCTCTCAAAGAGGCTGAGGTGGAGTGGAGAGAGGTCAAGAAGTAATTGATGAAACACAGGCGCTGTTCCTGAGTTCCTAAAAGTTTGCTTCGCCTTGGGACCATGCTCCTTTGCCTCTATCTGAACACAGGTCCGAACAGGAAGTTTCAGTTACTGGTAATGTGCGAGAGGAGAAGGAAGATGCTTTGAGGTTTGGGTCGCTCAGCCTAGGGCCATGGTTTCCTCTGGCCGCTCTTGGAAAGGCATGCCTCCCTCACTTAGGGGATGTGGGCTTTTGCTGTGCTGTGTGGATCCCCAGAAACAGCTCACAGCCTCCCAGGTGCCTGAGCGCTGTAGCTTCCCGGAGGCCATCACTGAGAGGACCAAGCGTGCATGAGTGATTGTACGGGGTGAAGCGACAGCCGAGAGTGACTGCAAATGGGCAGGAGGCTCTTTTTTTTAGAATTGGTGGAAATGTTCTCACATTAGATAATGGTGATGGCTGCACAACTCTGTAAACGTACAAAAGATCACTGGATTGTGCTCTTCCAACATGAGTCTTGTGACATGTGCTAGTACATCAGACCTCGATAAGACTGATAATAAAAGTGCCTGAGATTGGGGATGTCTTGAAAGGAGCCACGTTTCAGGACCAGCACACCTGGCTGAAGGGGTGTGACAGAGTGAGTGAGGGAGGCAACTGAGGCAGGCGCTAGAGGAAACGGGACCAGCAGAATCTTACTCATAAGCCAGAGGGAGGCCTGGGATCCAAATGGAAATAAAATGGCACTGTTTTTGTGGTTTTGACAACTTCAATTAGGTCCCAGAAGTTACATTGCTCTCTCTGAAAGCTCACTCTCTGAATAGCTCTAATGCTTTCATTTGGTGAACAATACCACCTTATAGCCAGAAATTGTACCTGAAAGCCCTATCAGCCCAAGTGAACGTGTCATGTCAAGGATTCATCAGGTGTGCTCTACAGATTTGTATAAATAGATTACCACATGTTTCCGAATAGCATTACTATAACTAATGCAGTTTAACTGCCATTTTTTTCTTGCTTGTCTTTATTTAATAAGATGTAGATAATAGTTAACGTGACAGTTTAAAAAATTTTCCAACTTACTTTTTTTTTTAATAATGTTTTCCGAATCCCAGAATGAAGGCAGCTAAGCTTTCTGTGTTTGCTTTACTCAAGAAATTGGCTGGCTCTGCTTACATATATTGTGTGCAACTTCAGATAAAGCTGCAGGACTCCCTCTGTAGCTGGAGCGCAGGAAACAATTGACACTGTTACTTAATTCACATTGTTTCTGAGGAGTTTCCTCCTTTCCCATGAGAACAGTTTGCTTGCAGATGGTTAGGCATGATCCATTTCTCCTTGGTACCGGTTCTGTGAGGAGAAGTTCGTGGTGCTTTGTAATAGCTGAGTTAGTGTGTGTGTGTGCATGTGTGTTGCTGGGGGGAGGTTCATGCGTGACACATAGAGATGCCTCCAACTTCATTCCAAGTAGCAAATGTTTTCTTTTGAATGCTAGCCCATCCACTCCGGTTCTGCATGCCTTAGTCGGCACCATTTTCTTGAAGGAGCATATACTAGGAACTGTTTTCTTCCTTCCAGTTTAAGGGAACACCGCTGTGACTGATGGTGTTTTAAGATATGCTGAATGAGTTACTGGGGAAAGCGGTTCCCAGCAGTTTAACTCGGCCCTACTGCTGCATGGTCAAGTATTACATACATGTAGGTGTGTGTGATATTGTCTGGGACACTACAGGGGTCTTCAAGGGGTGATTCCAGAATGGGAGAGCATAGCCATACATGAGATATAATTAGTTCAAATTAGTTCAAAAAGCCAAAGTTTTTGTATTACTTCTAGAAATAGTGGTTCCCACATCCAGGAGTTATGCTGGCTATAAAAGGAGAGTAAAAGTTTCCCAATTTTTTTTAAAAAAGATGTGGAACTTTGAGTTCCTTTTTTTCTGTCTTATCAGAGTTTGTTAAAATAATACCTACTGTCAGTTTAGCAGCTCTATCCATCCAGGAGCTGAAAGCACTTCACTGTCTTTCCCCCTCATGCCCTTCTCTCCCAGGCAGTCTTGGCTGGGCTGGGCTTATTTTTATCACGGCAACAACCAGCTTTTAGAAACGGTTGGGAGTAAAAAAAAGGAAAATGAGAATGGCACTGTAGCTGACATTCATTTTAGCTGTTGCCTCATGTGAACATTTGAGTATTTCTAAAACCTTCTCTCCAAGCATGTCGTATGTCTTATTTTTTCCTCAATTTTGTCCCAGTTCTAAGTCTCTATTCTGCTGATTGGGTAAAAAAAAAACCCCAAAATGTTTTAATGTAAAACCTTATTCCAGCAGAATGACTTCTTGAACTCTGAGTTAGAGCCTTATTTTTTGTAGCCTCAACAGTTCCTTTTTCCAGCACCCCTGTTGAGTATAATCACAGACCCAGGGGAGGGTAGCCCTGGAAGGGCCTCTGGGGTTTCCCAAGGTAAGTCTGTCATTGTGCAAATGATGAGCTTGAGGCCCAGAATGGTTGAGGGACATACTCAAGGTCGTAGAGGTCATTGATGGCAGAGGTCTGACCAGAATCAAGGATTTCTGATTTCCGGTGTGGTTTTCCTTCGGCTCTCCTAAACACAACTAGCCTATCTGGATAGGAGCTAGAGGACACCCTCACAGAACCTGAGGGCCCTCCAGCAGGTTGAATGACACTATGCTAATGGAGAATTGGAAGATTCCATTTTTTAGCTTGAACGTATTTGTCATATATAGAATGGTAATGGTGACTTTATAGACGTTTTTTTTTTTTTTTTTTTTTTTTTTTGGACCTGTGGATTTTGTGCAGTTTATATGCAGCCCAGGATGTGGTTTCAAATGGTGATCTGTGTACCTTCCTTTAGGCCACCACACCATCTACATTGGGGTCCACGTGCCGAAGAGCTACAGGAGAAGGAGACGTCACAAGAAAAAGACGGGACACAAAGAAAAGAAGGAAAAGGAGAGAGTCTCTGAGAACTACTCAGACAAGTCTGATGTGGAGAACGCCGACGAGTCCGGCAGCAGCATCCTCAAGCCACTCAGTGAGTACTCCGTGGATGTGGCTGCCTCTCTCCGCCTCACTCCCACGGCCTGGGGAAAGACACCTTTTAGGATCTTGTTGCTCATGGGGAGGGGAGCAATCACAAGGAGATGGCCTCCTCTAAAGGGTCATGTCTGTGGAGATGCTTTTCTTGTCCCAGCAGGTTGTTCTAGGATGAGGTCTGAGTTGGCCGGAGAATATTTGACAAAGTTTAGGCATGGTTGTGTGTATCCTACATTTTGACTAGTGAAATAGGGAAGAGTATTAAAGATGGCATTTGACTACAGTAATCAACGTAGTGACTGAAATACATTTTTGGATTGTTTCTGCAGAGAAATAGGTTCCCTTGGGACAGTAGGTCAATGGAACTTAATAGGATTCTAAGTGGCATTTAACCAGATCCTGGGGGTGGTTGGTAATTTAAAAAGGAACAGTGGAAAAGCATCCTGTAAGTCATAGAAGAATGTAGAGCAGAGTGGCATAGCTCTTGAAATGTCGAACATATTATGTATCAGACTTTGGATAGAAGTGTTACTAAGAACAGAATAACAGGAGGCCAAAGACATGGGAGGACTGTGTGTTTAGGCGCATGTGTATGCTGCTTTGCTTCTTTAGAAGTGGAGAGTATTTGGCTATTGGGGTAACTGGGTCTGAAGAGAGAATGAGTATGTGCAGTAGAAGAAGCGAGAAGCAGTAGAAACACATGCCAATTTGGGGAGATTCCCCAACCAGGAGTTACGTAATGACAGCTTTTCATGTTGGCAGAGCTCTGTTCTTTCTTCATCTCCTTGCTACAGTTGCAGAAATATGGAGCCTGCAGTAGAATACATTAGGGGTGGCATGGATGCAAATCCAGTTCTGTCACTGCAGGTGACGAGAAGCCAAATTAGAATGAACAGCTGAGGAGTGTTGAAAAGAGAGTGTATATGGGTAAATGGAAGAGGGTGTGAAGTGGAGATGTGAATCTGTGAATTTGTTAGAGTCTCGCTATTGGAACTGAGCAGGTGGCTTGAAAGTATAGAGGCACCTGCTAAGAGGAGCAGCGCAGATGGACCACCTGAGTGAAGAGAGGTGTCCTGAGCATAGTTTGGAGATGGACCATTATGCTAAAACTTACAGGTGTCAAAATAAATGTGATGCTTAGGAGGGACCAGAGGCAGGAGACAAGAGTTATGCACTTTTCATTAAAATGTTGGGAATCTGAAGGGAATCCTTCACATATTGACTAAAAACAGCTAAAAACGAAAAAGCATGGGGACTGTTTCAGGTAAAGTCCTTGAAATGCTGATAAAAAAAGGTCACAGTTAATAGTGTGGAGGAACAAAAGATAACATCCCTTTCCAAATAAATTACTACTGTCTTTCTTGATTTGCTATCTGTTTCGGCAAGGCCTAAGCCTGAATCAGAGATACTTTACCCAGTGTCTGTGAATGTGTGTGTGTGTGTGTGTGTGTGCGCTCTCTCTCTCTCTCTCTCTCTCTCTCTCTCTCTCTCTCTCTCTCTCTCTCTCTCCTAGTCATTTACCATTCTGCAATTTAAGAACAAGAGTACATCATCACTATACATAATAAAAAGGGAGAGATGCTCTCTTAGCCAATTGGCCCAGGGATTTTTGAGATGATAATTATGTACCAGCTTTATGAAGGAAAGGCAATGGAACAATGCCAGTAATACTCAAGTCAGTAATAGGGGATGGAAGGGTCAGAAAGGTAGTGAGTATCAGTATGTGTCTGTCATGGGAGTGCTGTTCCTTTCTGTGGCATTTGGGGACTAGTCTGAGTACAGCATTTACAACAAGCAAGGTGTCCATTCTCATTAGCCTCAGGCCTTCCTGGGGAGAATTACATTGTGTTGTATGCCTAGTTCCTGAAGGGATCATACAGAGAGACCACTGTTAAGGACCAAGTTATTCAGAGTTCATCATACAATTATATATAAATTTGCATTTTATAGTTAGTTATTTTCCTGTTAGTTAATAAGTTATGCACCATTCAATTCAGCATGGATATTATCTCCACTGCTTATTGTGGAGACTAGATGAACTGGTAGCTGGTTTGTCTGGTGCTGTTCTATTGAAGATGTTACACTCATGTATCCAAGGACATTTAACCCTATGAGTTTGGGGAAGCTACGAGGCACAGGCACCATTATGACAATAACATTCTTTTATGGGAAAACTCATTTTCTGAAATACCTGCCTAGCGGCATGCCATTATTGATTCTCAAGAACAGCCACACACCGTTTCTGTTATTGCTAGGTGTAGGCTTTTGGAGATACTTATATCTGTAATGTACCATAGCCCATAGACAAGATTCTTTTCCCCCCATTTAATATTTTTAATTATTTATTTATTGTCTAAAGTTTTACATATGTCTCCTTTTCCCCCAATTGACTCCCTCCCTTCCCAGCCATTCCCACCTCAGGCAAGCCCCCACCGCCCCAGTATCTGTGTCCATTGGTTATGCTAATGTGCATGCGTACAAGTCCTTTGGTTGCTCTTTAACCTACCCCCCCCCCCCCCCCGCCATTTGTCTCTGGATCTAGTATTGTTCATCAAATTATATTGATCATTATATCCCACATACGAGTGAGATCATGTGATATTTATCTTTCTCCAACTGGCTTATTTTGCTTAGCATAATGCTTTCCAGTTCCATCCATGCTGTTGCAAATTGTAAAAGTTCCTTTTTTATAGCAGTATTCCATTGCATAGATGTACCACAGGCTTTTAATCCATTCGTCTGCTGGTGGGCGCTTAGGCTGTTTCCAAATCTTAGCCATTGTAAATTGTTCTGCTATGAGTATAAGACAAGATTTGTGCATGGGCCTGACATTGTGTCAGGTGAGGCTTCTATTATTGAAAGTGCCCCACATAGAGTAACTCGATGAGAATCATCTCTGATTCTTTCCTTTATGTCACCCACCCAAGCCATCCACCAATGACTTCTGTTGGTTCTACTTCTAAAATATGCCTGGATCGGTCTACCACTGAACAGTGTGGCTGCCACATTTGGGCCCGGGGAATTGCCATCTCTTATGCAGACAACTGCAACAGGCTCCACTTTTCAAGTCTTCTTCCACCCAGAGGAAACAGGGGTCATCGTAAAGTGTAAATGAAGCCATGCCATTCCTGCGCTGAACACTTCCTGTTGTCCGCAGAAGAAAATCCCGATTGGGCAGCACGGCCCATGGAGTCTCAACACGAGTGCTCCGTGCCATCTCTCCCTGCTCTCTGTTCTTCAGCCACACTGAATTTTCAGCTTCTATTCTGCCTCAGGGCCTTTGCACATGTAATCCTGTCTTTCCTGGAATAGTCATCCCATTTCTGTCCTGGTTAGCTTCCCTTCTGCTTTATACTCCATCTTTAAAATTTTGTGTCATCTGGGAGGCCTTTCCTTCCTATTCTGTACAAGGTCGGGTGAAAGTAGGCTTACAGCCGTGAGTCCCGAATATTATTACTTATTGCATTAGTTTCCATACGAAAAACTGTCAACCTACTTTTGCCCCACCCTGTGTCCTGTGTGTTCTCCAGTGTTGTTCCTTCTCAGTTCTTTGTTTCCTTAATAACATGCGTTTTAACTTTCAGTTTTGTGAGCCTACAGTTTTGTCTGGTGCTGATGCTAGGTTATGAGCTCCGTGAGTGCTAGGATCAAGTTTGTCTTGTCATTATTTTCTCTAGCACTTAGCACAGTGTCTGACATGTGGCGTATACTTCATAAATGCTGACTGAAGAGTAATTGACTGAATGGATTACTATAGGTAAATACATAAGTGTTGCTTTTATTTATCTAAATACTTCCTACATTATAGATAATGGGTGAGTTGATTTTTTCTTATTTTTAATCCTTGCAAATTATTTTTATATTTCCTTGCACTGCCTTCCTCCCTTACCATGGAAATCTGCTCCAAACTCTTAATTATGCTGCTTTGGAAAGTGCCTCATTATTTTAACTACTAGAGGCCTGGTACCCGAAATTTATGCATGGGGGGTGGGGAGGTGGGGGTCTCCTCAGCCCAGCCTGCACCCTCTCCAATCTGGAATCCCTTTCGTAATATGGAACCACTAGCTCCTAACCCCTAATTTGCCTGCCTGCCAGATGCCCCTAACAGCTTCCCTGCCAGTCCAATCGCCCTAACTGCCTATTGGGTCTCCCCTCTGGCTTGATAACCCTGCCTAACTGATACGGTTTCCTTTCTGCCTTGTTGTGCACGATGCTGGCCTTTTCACCTTCTCCCGTCTGCCTTCTCCCGCAGTGCCTCCCGCCCACCCATGAGTTGCCTCAGGCTGGTCCCGCCTTCTCCCAGCGCCTCCCTGTTTCCACCTTGTCACGGGAGCAATGCCCTGTGGCGCACATAGAAGCTCATAAAGAGCTGATGGTCTGGTTGTGACCCATTATGGCATCCCATCCTAATTTGCATATTACCCCCCCCTCTCTGCATATAGATAGATAGATAGATAGATAGATAGATAGATATAGATAGATAGATTGCTAAAGAGGTATTTTGGCCTGGGTAGGTGGCTCCCGAGCGTGCTGAGTTGCTTGTCATACACAGATGATGGAGAAACTGATCCACAGGGCACATGGATTCATCACACACACTTGAGGATGCTCACTACTCCACACCAAACTTGGGCTGCTCAGCTTCAGAAGCCATAGTCAGGAGGCATGGACTCGGACAGTAAAGGTCATCTAAAAGAAGAAATAAGCCAAATATTTAGGCACATTAGGAAGATGGCATTAGTGGGTTCACTTAGCTGATGACACAGGTGCTTTTGCTTTCCTCTGTGGCTTTGGTGTCACACAGGGCTGCTAAAAAGTGAATGCATATTCCGACTCACACCTCTGGAGCTGTGATGCAGGAAGCTCGCTGGCTCTGTTGCCCCCTCGAAGCTCAGAGGCAGCTCCAAGTCCATGCACAGCGGCTGTTCCTCCAGCGTGGTGTCTGAGCGGCTGGTGTCTGAGCCCCTGTCCCGGCTTAGGACCCAGAGAGGGGAACAT